GAAGAAGAAGAAGAAGAAGAAGAAGAAGAAGAAGAAGAAGAAGAAGAAGAAGAAGAAGAAGAAGAAGAAGAAGAAGAAGAAGGAGAAGAAGAAGAAGAAAAAGAAGAAGAAGAAGAAGAAGAAGAAGAAGAAGAAGAAGAAAAAGAAGAAGAAGAAGAAGAAGAAGAAGAAGGAGAAGAAGAAGAAGAAAAAGAAGAAGAAGAAGGGGAGGAGGAAGGGGAAAAAGAAGAGATGAAGGAGAAGAAGAACAATAAGAAGGAGAAGGAGAAGGAGGAAGAGGAGAGGAAGAAGAAAGAAGGAGAAGGAGAAGAAGGAAGGGAAGGGGAAGGGGAAGGGGAAGAAAAAGGGGAAAGAGAAGGGAAAGAAAAAGAGAAAGAAGAAAGAAATCATGCATTAGAAAACATGAAAGGGATTCCTGCAGGAGATAATTAAACATGCAAATCTGTTGGAATGCTTTGATGCAAGATAAAGAAAATGTCTATGGCTAATGCCAACTGTAAAATTCCACCATATTGTGACAGTGATGACATTCATGTGCATAATGTTACATGAACTTTTTTACTCAAGTGATGACACAAATAAATGTGATCATACTTACTGAACTCACTGGAAGTAAACTGTAATGGAAAAAGTCCTTTTCTACTACAATCTAAGCTTATGGTAATGGGGGGAAGCAATTGAGAAAATAGTAAACTGTATAGTGAATTTTAACCCTTTTCTAAATTTTGTGTGAGTGTGTGCGTGTCTGTATGTGTGTATGTGTCTGCATTTGTGAGCATCTGGCCCTGTGCCATCCCAATTTAGGCCCACATTTATTTAAGGCCAGACTAATTGAGAAGTCACTTACTACTTTTTACTATTTCCATTTTATTCATTTTTCCTCATCTGCTGCTATGGTTTTGAATGCCCTCTCCAAATTTTACATAGAAAGTCTCTGGCCATTGTAATAGTGATGGGAAGCAGGACCTTTGAGAGGTAGTTAGCCATGAGGCTGCACTCTGACAACAGGATTGTTGACTTTATCTGGAGAACATGTTAGTTATTGTGTGAGTGAGCTTTGGATCAAAGGATGAGTTTGGTCTTGATTTTGTCTTCATCACATGTCCTTCACTGTATATTGCTTGCCTGCCATAGAAAGAAAGCCTCACCAGATGCAGCCCCTTGGACTTCCCAGCCTCCAGAAACATGAGCAAAATAAGTCTTTTTCCAGATTACTCCATCAGTGGCATTGGGTTATTGCAGGAGAAAATTGCCTAAAACACTATTATTCCTTTCTCTGTAGATAATTGAACTACCTTACCAAGGGACATGGCAAAGTTATTGTCAAATAATCAAAAGCCCATACACACACACACACACATACACACACACACACACGCACACATGAAATATACGGTATATGTGTATATATATATTATATATTAGCTTTTAAAATACATATAATCAATATATATTTTAAATGAAATAAAATGAAACACGATTTCACTCTTAACCTTATGTTCAGAAATAAATTAAAAGTAACCATAAAGGTAAATATGTAATTTTATTGTTCAGTAAGATAATTGCAGAATTTTTGAAATTTTTTTCAATGAAAATTTTAGTCTCTATTGTCATGCATTATATGGTACTCTTTTAGTATTACTCAAATATCAGTTGTAATTAGGGTGGTATTTTCCCAATGAAGATGGTTGAAAAGCTGGCTTGAAAGGAGGGTAAGCAGATGTATCAGCTATCGTGGGCCCTGGCAACCACAGTTTGCCTGCTGGTAGCAGGTTAGGATACGGAGCCTCATTGACTGACACCTCAGGATATCTGCTTGGAAAAGTTAATGGTTTCACTATCAACCCCAAAAGACTATTTTGTGAGGGAGATATGATTTGGTATTGAGAAGTTGTGGTTGTAATGCAATTCAAAATGTGGTCATTTGCTTGTATGTAGGTGCTATGAGATTGCATATGAATACTGGCCAAGTGATTTAAAATAGTATTTTGATTTGTTGCAATGTGTTCTCTTGGTCCAAATGAAGTTGAAGATGGAGTAGGAGGAAAACCACTTCTGGTTGTGTCAGGTAAACTGGCAATTCTTTGGCTGACAGATTTTCTTATTAGAGGTTTATTTAAATTTGTAGAGGTTGAAAATGATCTTTCTCCACTAGTTTCAGCAATTAATCCAGAATTATGATTATCTGTGTTAGCCCCTGCTCTAAAGTGCTTCTTCTTGAAACCTTCAGTGAATAAAGTAGATACAAGAGAAGCATTTCTAATCCCAATTCTTCTTTTCATTTTTACCAAAAGTTGAGGACAACCACAGTTTGAAATTTGGGTTATAATAGACCTTTAATTAAAAACAAAGGAGAAAGTAAGTCAGTGTCATTTTAAACCAAGATAAAAGTGACAATAGCACATATAACACAAAAAGTCTCAGATTTCTGTCTTATCACACAAATTTAATGTCATCAAATGATGCATGAACATTGTTTACCCTTTCCAGGAATGTGCCTTTTGGGGAGAAAATGCACTCAAATTGTTAAGCTCTCAAGTAAAAACATGTTACATATTAACAGTAACATTTCATGATTGGCTTTGGTAACTTTATCTGGAGTTTATTGGTAAGATTCAAAGTTGTTACAAAATTTCTTAAAACCTGGAAAGTTTAATGCTGAAGCTGCCTTCAGTAATTGTAAAAACTTAAACAATTTTTACTTCAATATGTATATAATTTACAAAATCTAGTCTTACTGCACTTATCAACATATTTACTGATGTACAAAATAAAATTACCTACATACTCTACATAAAGTGGCCACTGAAATATTTTAAATACCTTGCCTACAATGGGGACTTATTTTTCTTCTGCCAGAAATTCTGCTAGAAAAGCAGATCTTTGAAAATTCTGTCGAATTTTACTGAATCTGTAAAGATTGAGCTGTCGAACTAAGCTTTTTATACTCTCAGCTTTAAATATTCTGTAAGGATCCTTTCTTTCCAGAATTTCTTTCTTGAAAAGTTCTTCATGAATCACTATGCAAGTTCCATCCTCACCCCATGAAATAGACTTGAACTGGTCATTTTCAACTATTTTCCAGAGTTTTCTAGGAAAGGTCAGAGAAATAAAATCACTATCCTTATCTAACTCAGGGACACAAATTGTGTAACCTGGACTTTTTATCAATGATCCTTGTGACAAAACCTGAAAAGCATTTTCTTCAATTATTGACCTTAAGTCTGAGTCTTCAGAGAATATGTGTTCACCCAACAGAAACCTAGTGGAAGCTTCTGAACCAGTCGACTTAACTTTAGGAGAAATATCTTGAGTTTCTGAAGAAACATCTGCCATCTCAAATAAATATTTCTTCATCTACTCCTCCAGCCTGCATGGTCTTCAACACTGCGGTTTCAAAACCTGCTTCAGTAGGCCTAAGCAGGTAAAGCAATCTAGACTACCACAATGGTTCTCAGTTTGAATAGCTATGACATCACAAGAGGACTTTGGTCTCCTAGCAACAAACATGAAATTTTACCAAGAATATTTTCTTCTTAGCCAGAGAAATGTATACAGTAAAACTAAAACATAGACTGATTGCTTACACATATTATCTGCAAGAGTCTCATCCCAGCAGAATCTTTTAAATACATAATTAAATAAATAATATCCTCAGTACCTGAATTATATGTAATTTTCTCACTGACACACACTCTTACTAGACTGGCTCCAGGAGACAGAGGGTCTGGTAATTGGACTGAAGAAAAAAAATAAAAATTATTAAATCTCTGTCAGTTTGGCATATTGGATTGAAAACTGATGCACTACATGGTAAAAAGAAAATTGCCCATAGATATTATTGGTATGTTTCTGGTTGTCAGGGGCTGGGAAATAGAAGTAACTCTTTAGGAGATATAGGGTTTTCTGTTGGTGGATAGAAATATTTAATTACAAAGGAGAAAAGATTCTGGTACAACATCATAAACATATTAAATTCCATTGAATTGTACACTCTAGTAACTTTATATTATTTAAAACTTACCTTAAAATGTTAAGATGAAAACAAACGTAAATAAAATATCTGATTACATTTCAAAATAAAAAGCAAGTTATACGCATATCTATTCAAAACATTTATGCATATTATTAAAATTAATATTGATTTTGTTTACTATGTTTATAAATATCTGAAAAATGTTAATGATATATAATATTTTAAAAGCAGCTGATCTTCTTGGACTGAGATACCAAAGAATGGGAGATTAAAAAAAAGAAAAAAAGAAAAAAACCAAGTTTTTTAAGTTGAGTAAATTTTTATGTGTAGCCAAGCAGAAGTTTTAATTTTTTTTTATTTTGCTCGAAGGGCCAAATGTCAATTAAAAAATATTTTTTAAGAAATGATCTTTGTGTGATGCAACATAACTGTCTCACCAAACAGGATTTGAATTTGTAATGTAATTTTAGTATTGAATAAAATATTTATTCAATTTTTATATGTTCATGGTTTAAATAATTTTTGTATGATCATGGTTTAAAAGTGGTATATTAAATTTATAACCCTTTGCATTGGCAAGTTTTGAATATGTGTGGAAGAAAGAAATGATAATTTTTATGTGTCTCACACCATAGGAGGCATTTCTCTCATACTTGAAAGAGATTATATTGTTAGAAGTCTGTCTTGGTTTAATGTAGTTTAGGTTTTGCGGGTAATTTTGTATTTTTTTTTCAGAATTTTTTATATTAACACAATGTAATAAAAATGTCCACATCAGTAAACTCCTTTTCAAATAAACAGGTGTTTCTACCAGAGGTGGTTCATCAAATTTTACAATCTTTTCATTTTGAAAAATGGAGAATTAAAATATTTTTCAATTTTTTGCTTTTCTGTGAAATGTTTATGTTGCACTGCCTGAAGTACAGGCTTCTTCTGTGATGCGGGGAGGAATGATTACTGACAGCAGCAAAAGGTGGAGCAAGGGTGTGAAGAAAAAAGGGAGTTAATGGGAGGATCAGAAGAAGAAATCACATTAAATGTAGGACAATCTAAGTCAAATTGTGGCTGAGCATTTTGGGAAGCTAAGATGAGTGACAGTGTAAAGAGGAACAATGTCTTGATGTTTTCAGTGGGAGACAAAGCTGTCAGTTGTCTCCAAACTGCAAGCCTACATTTAGTCATAAAGA